GCAACTTTAAGATACCTGGACTTCAATTCTCAGAATTCCTATGCCAGCCATGCTGAGAATTGAAGCCGACATATCTTAAAGTTGCCAAAGGTGAGAAACACTGTCCTGGAGATGCTCTTTAATAACCGCTTTGCAAGTTGTAGAGAGATTGTAGACCATGTTAAGTCTATGGTAATAAAAAAAAATCCATCCTCTAGAACCTTTTCTGATTACCAAATTTTATTAGAAGGCATATATAAGCTTTGATGGCAGCCCACAAATGTTTATGCCTTTTAATAAACTTGTTCAGTTTCACAAGATGACATCAGACCCTTCCTGATTGTTATATAACCACTCAAAGCATTCTGCTCATTCATCTTAAAATTAATTTGACCCACATCACGGCCACTTCTTGTATTACCAAATGGTGACAAAATTATTCTGAAATCTGCTCTGTAAAATTTGGGAAACAACCAGCTGAGATGTGGGAAGGGTTATTGCAAGAAAGAATACTTTTGTGCAAAGTTTTTCTAGCTAGAGGCAGTGCTCTAGCATTTCTGCGCATCACAGAAAGGAGTTGATTAATTATCATTCTCTAGTCTGCTTTCAGAATTTTAACTATCAATAACAGTCATAGTGGTAGTACTAACGGCAGGTGCGGTGCTATTATTGTTTGTATTATTATGACATTATCATTATTATTTTTAGTCTTTCAATCTTGTGCGCCAACTCCAGAGATGTTTTGCAATTCATTGTTTTTAAAGTTTTGCTTAAATTATTTTAGATTATTAGTTTTGGCTACTCCCCAAAAAGGACTGTGAGATGACAAAGTTTGCTTAGTTTCAGACTAAATTTTGAGATAGTGGAAGATTAGGAACGTCACATGCTTATTTGCAAAAGAAATTGTGGCTTGGAAGGAACTTGGTGAACCTGACAATATCCTGTACACAACTTTTAATCTTGTGAGACTGAATTTTAGAATATGTTCAAATTAAGTTGTGGTGGTTGCTGGTGATCCTCCTGTCCAGGAGCTTAATGATCACACCCAAAGATAATCAGAGAAATTAGATCCTAAGCATATTAATGTAGCTTTACACAGAAGCATTAACTCTGTCACACACTATAAGAGAAGGAGCTTAACTGGAACTTAACATGCAGTCCTGATTTTTCAAGCCTGACACACACATACACCTTCATATTTACTAGTGTTAATGACTAGTTGAATATAAATAAGAATATAAAAATAATATAAATCCTTCCATTCCCCACTATTCGATCAGAATTGAAGAAGCTTCTTGCATGAGAAGAGGAATGTTTTCAAGGAAAAAAAAAATAGAAAGTCCAGTTGCCTTTTGCAAAAGCACCTTTGGGATAACATGTGATTTATCTTCTTAAGGCTATGGGAAAATTAAAAATTGAGTTAACTTTGAACAGGGGGTCTGTAGTCCCACTGCACTTAAATTGGGTGTTGTCTCACAGCTCTGTACAGTAGTGTTTACGTGAAAGCCAGTTTGAGGTAATTCGGTGTTTCTCAATCTCAGCGAGTTTAAGACCTGTGGACCTCAGCTCACAGAATTTCCCAGCCAGACTGGGTTGAGAGATTCTGGGAGTTGAGGTCCATAGGTCTTAAAATCGCTGAGATTGAGAAATACTGATATAATGGTTCAGTTGGCTAGGCTAGAAGCAGATGGCTTCACGTCTAAGGCAGGACTAGTCCAGCTTCTTGAAGCATCAAACTGGCTTCTCCCATTAACCCTACAGAGGTCTGGAACAACACCCATTTAAAAAGCAGTGGGATCCCAGACACCACGTTGAAAGCTGAGACTCAATTCTTCCAAAGGAAGAAATAAAATGATGGGTGCTCAGATGCTGCCTCAACTTCTTTGGGAATCAAGTGGGCAGTTCGTGCTCTTAAAAAAAGATAACCATGCAATCAAGGCAAAGCTAAGAAATGCACTTCTCAGAACTACAGCTAACAAGCAGAGACAGGTGTGTGAAAAACAAGACAATTAACAATTAAGATCGTGGGGGCCCTCTTGAAAGAAGCTCCATTTAGACCGCCAAGAAGCAAAGGAACCAAATTCAAAATTTGCTTTGCCTGTTAAAGAAAGTCTAGGGAGAAAATTCTTAATTTGTTGAAGCTTCAAAATAAGCTGAGGTCCAAAGAGTCGCTCGGTGGGTGAGATGGGCAATCTCCAAATTTTATATATAAAATAAATAAAATTAAAGGAGGGAGGCTGTTTTTTTTTCCACGATCTTACATCTCTTCCTGGAAAAATGTATATTATTTATTTAACTTATATGCCACCCATCTCATCAAAGACAACTCTTTCTGGCTACGGGTCTATATTTTAATATATGTACAACTGAGAATTATTATTATTAAACCCTCCCTGGATATCCCCTTGCTGTGGGAAGAGGGCTGGGATGCTCTATGGCAGGGGTGTCAAATTCGCAATGCCAAGTGACGTGTCGCGCCATATCGTGACTTTTTTTACATTGCCGGCAATGGGGTGGGCGCAGTTTTGGCATGATGCATCCAGCCTGCGGGCCGGCAGTTTGACACCCTTGTTCTATGGGGTTGAGAGCCATGCAGGCAAAAGTATATTATTCTTACCAGTGCTTTTTTTCAAAAAAAAAAAAAAAAAGGTGCTGGAACTCACACATGTCATACAACCCGCCTTGCCCGCCCTACAAGGTTCCATCCAAAAAAGGTGCCGGAACTCCGTTCTGAGCGTTCTATGAGAAAAAAAAGCCCTGATTCTTAGTGTGGATGGTTAGTTTTATGTAGCTACTAGAAAAATAAAAATCAATTAGCTGGATGCTTACACTAGCTGCCAAAAGACAAATGAAATATTTAAATGAAAGCAGAGGGAAGTCCCATCTTTGCTCATCTGCTCTCCCACAAGTCAGATAAACTCCACAAAATATAAAAATGTTCCGGCTCCAGGGAAGTTTTCAAAGGCAGGATATCTGCTGTTAGTGAAGAACAAGCGGGCTTTCCTTAAAATGGCTATTGTACTGTTTTGTCTAAAGGAGATTTCAGTCCTTATCTTTTGGAAGTACATTAAGGTCAATTCATTTTTATTCCTGTAAAACAGTGGTTCTCAACCTGTGGGTCGGGACCCCATTTGGGGTCGAACGACCATTTCACGGGGGTCGCCAAACAACGCAGTCCGCCATTTTTTCACCCTTTTCCTTAGCTGTGCTACTCCCTTTTATTCTATTGGCTTTCGAAAGCCAATAGGAATTGTCCAGGCTGTCTCTGCCCTGCTGAGCCCGCCAAAAGTCCCATTCTGCAAACGGTGCTGCAGCAGTTGAGTAGTCCTCGACTTACGACCGGTTGAGTAGTCCTCGACTTACGACCGGTTGGGGGTCGCGGCATTAAAAAGGTTGAGAACCACTGCCATAAAACAAAAGTTTCCATTATGAATTCCAAGATGCGTTCAGGTTATACCACAGAAGGCTCCCAAACATTCAAATAGCAGAAGGGAAGGGTCCAAAACAGAAACTTGAAATTTCAAATCACTGCAGCAATTTTTCTAGCTATCTAGAAGAACCCCCCCTGGCTGAAGTCTAACTCTGTTAATTGGCACACGTGGATACCAAAACAGTTCAGCTGGGAAGCCTCCCAAGAGATTGTGGCCAGCGCCAGCAATGCCTACTGGAGACTACTGGGGACAAAAAGCACATTTTCAGCCCCTCGTCAGAAAGTGGGCAATGAAATGTCAAAATCCTTCCCTTTTACTGACTTTTTAGCAAAGATTGCAAAGCAAGATTGCAAGACGGACTAAAGAAATGTGCCCATCTGGCCCCGCCAACTTTGTGGTCCTGTGTGCTTAACACTGAAAAAAGAACCAGTTAGACATGGGCTGGGCAAACTTGGGGGCAGATTTTATTAATAAGGAAATACAAATAAAGGTATGGATAGACAAGCATCCAAGGTACTTTACTTTGTACAACTGTTACAGGAAGGCCCTGATCAGAACCCTTCCCTTAAATCCATCCCTTTGTTTTCTGTCAATCCGGGGCTTTTAAAGCATCCTCCTTGGTCAGGGGTAGGCAACCTTGGCTCTTTTATGACTCGTGGACTTCAATTCCCAGAATTCCTGAGCCAGCACAGCTGGCTCAGGAATTCTGGGAGTTGAAGTCCACGAGTCATAAAAGAGCCAAGGTTGCCTACCCCTGTCCTTGGTCAAAGATGCTTTCACTCAGAGCATCCAGAGAAATTGAAATTTAAAATTAAAGAAAGAAAAAAAAAGACAAAGGGCTTGTTATTTTTGCCTCAGGCAAGCCCACGAAAGTGGTTTGGGAGGCCCCTTTCTCTCAGGGAAGGAGGCTGAATTGATGGGCGTACCTTACCCCACCCTGAACGGCAGTCTCCACCTGGGTCGGAGGACAGCAAAAGAAAGAAAGAAAGAAAAATCCAGCCCCGATCCAATTTGGATCGGAAGGAACAAGGGGCAGCCAGAAAGCCACCACGAAGTGCATCTCTCAGAATCGCCTGAGTCATTGCTTGGGGGGGGGGGCGGCTGGGTGGAGGCAGTCACGCACTACCACACAAACACCCATACAGCAGATGAAAGCTTGCAACAACAGGTAAAAAGAGGGGGAGAGGCTGCGAGAAAGAGATGGAGCGTCACCCTCCCCCCGGACAAAATAGACCAGCCTTTCTTTCAGCTCTCTTCCCATTCCGGGCTGTGCACCCAGCCAAGCCTTTAGCAAGAGTTGGTGGGCAAAACCAGCAAGGCTAGGAGACCTGGAGTCCGAGGAGCCAATGCAGCAGCATCGGTCGAGGGTGGGGGGGGGGGGGAGAACAAGAGGCGAGGTCTGCCCTGGGCAAACCTTGCAACGTCTCTTCCCCGCCCCATCAGCCACAGCCACAGCCACGGGGGTACCCAGCATATTGCAAGGGAGCCGCTTTAGCACGGGAGGCGGAACGAGGACGAGGAAAGCCTCCGACACCAAAAGGAAGCGAAGGAAGGAGCGAAAGAGAGAAAGAAAGAGAAAGAAACGCTTACTCCATTTTTCAGGACTCCGCGGTGCTCCCCTCGGCTACTCCCGGCAGTCTGGCGGCTTGCAAGGTGCAAGAAAAGGGAGGGGGAAGAGCCGGTTTAGCGGAATTAATCTTCCTCCCCTCCTCCTCCTCCTCCTCCTCCTCAAGGGCTCTGATTTCCAGAGGCCGTCAGAGAAGGTGGCGGTGACGGCGGCGGCGGCGGCACCTGACGACTGCACATCCCATCCGGCGTTGGTTAATGTCCCGAGCGGATGGGCTGTGCGAGCCGAGGATGCGAAGCCTTGGGTATTATGTGCGAGTGTGGCATGGATGTGTGTGTGTGTGCGTGCGCGGGTGCAGTTGAGTTTCCCCCCTCCCTCCAGCCGGCCTTCCTCCAGCATTGCAATAGCGCCGCTTGCTGGTCGCCTCTCGTCACGGCGGGTGTTTTCTCCACCGGCAGAAAGAGGCAGCCGGCGTGAAGGCCGACGAGGCTTCAGAGGGAGCGAGCGGGGCGCGACGGCCGGCAGGAGCCGCCCGGCTGCTCCAGCGCCTTGGCTCGCTGCGGCGGGCTGCGCTGCCTGCTACACTCTGGGCTGAAACGGGACTCGGCTTGGTTTTCTCATCGCGTTAGATTTTAAAGCGGGTTTGATTTGGGCTTGATGTAGCGGGCGCTTTCTGGTCTTGAGAAAGGGCGCTTTAGGGCTTCGCTTTATCGGGGCTCTCTGTCTGGTTCGACCAGCCACGGTTAAAATGAACTGTGGTTGAGCGTGAGCCATGAATGGAAAACCATTATGAGCCTCAGCCCGAGAAACGTGCGAACGAGGATGGCTTTGGCGGAAAAGCCGAGAAATTCAAGGGTGGGAGGGGGGTCTCTTCTGAATCGAAGAAACAGAAAAGAACAATTCGACAAGAGCGATTCCTAGCCAGAAGTCCCTAAGCAAATTGCTGGCTTGCTTGGTTGCATCATTGTGGGACAGAGAGCTCTGGGCACGTGTAAAATGTTTTCCCTTCTGGAACAAAAGAGAAAATAGGGAGATCTCACAACAGATGCAGGCCAGTATTTCAGGAGAAACGCAGTGAACAAAAAGAAGAGCTTTCCACTCTTTATGTTGTTTAGAGTCCAGTGTTTCTCCACCTCTGCGATTTTAAGAAGAGGGATAACGCCCAGTATTCCTGCAGCCATTCTGGGGAATTCTGGGACTTAAAAGTCCACACATCTAAAAGTTGCTGAGATTGAGAAACACTGATTCAGACCAAAATGAACTGAAAGCTTTTTTTTGGGGGGGGGGGGGTTGAAGAAGAAGGAGAGGGAGGCTGAGCAGATTGGCTAAATGATCCAAGCTCATATTTACTCCTTGCAGAATATCCTCTCCAGTGAGCAAATTAAGTTGCCTTATAATCACAGCTTCGCACAAAATACTGAATCCAACCCTGGTTGGCAAACAACAACTGTGTTCACATAATATTCTGGGCCCAGGCAGAAAAATGACCTTAGGTGGGTATAAGGGATGGCCTGGTTTGCTTCTCTCATCTAAGACAATATACGGAAGTAGAGGATCATCTGTTCAATTCCCAGCCAATACCCAAATTCAACACTATGACTTTTCCTATTAAGGAAGAGGCACACAATCCAAAAAGCAACTAGACTTTTTTTCTCTCCTTTGAAAATGTTTTGCTTCTCATCCAAGAAGCTTCTTCAGTTCTTGGATGAGAGGTGAAATGTTTTCAAAGGGAAAAAAAAAAAACAAGAAAGTCCATTTGCCTTTTGGAAAAAGCAGCTTTGGGACAACTGTGACCTGGATGATTGAGACTCTCTGTAAACATACAACTGTTTCCTTGTCAAAGATTGTTATCAAGTTGCCTGTGTTTACCCACCTTGCTTAACAAAAGCACTTAACTCATTTGAAGGAGATGAAAATTATATCATGCCATAACCTAATCACACAAGCTGCATTTGCACAACACACTAAACCAAAATGAAAGCATAGAGCAGTGTCCTCTCATCCCAGATGAATATTAACTGAGCTTAACATGTTGTGTGAATGTATCTGCTAGGTTTAGAACTGGTCACTTACATTACAAGTGAACCTGAAAAAGCTACTTACAACCCATTTTTGGAGTTCTCTCTCTCTCTCTCTCTCACACACACACACACACAATTTTCAATAGCTCTCTCTCTCTCTCTCTCTCTCTCTCACACACACACACACACACACACACACAATTTTCAATAGTCAGCAACCTGCACACATCTATAGCCATTTGCAGCACCCTGCAGTCACATGACTGATTTATGACGTTTTTGCCAGAAACCAACTTACTTCTGATTTCCAGCAAATAACAAACCATGGATTTGCTTAATGATCATTGCATTCAGCCATGGCAATTGCTTAATGACCTGCCATAAAAAAGATTATAAAATTGGGTGTGGTCACATGGTGACCCGCTTAATGGCTATCATAACTTATAGTCAAAATTGCAGACTGAATTAGGATCGTAAAGCAAGGACTACTTGTTACTTCAAGATGATTTTTTTTCCTGCTTGCTATAGTGACATGGCAACAACAAAGAAGTTATTTGTCATTACTGCCTCCTTCTCTTCCTCCTCCTCTTGTTTGTCTGATCCTTTTTATTTATTTTTTGAATCAGCCAAAATCAGGCAGGTGCTGCCACCAGTTGGTGTTAATTATAGCATTCTTACCATGCCATATCCATTGCCTCTTCAATATATTTCAGGAGTGATATGGCTAACCTATTTGCTTATTCGTGTAAGAACCATCACAGTTTAAAAAAGACATACTATACAGCATAAAATTTAAAATTCAAGATTAAAATATGTACAAGTTAAATAGATCTTGCCCAGAACCCAGCAACATTAATTGTGTCCTGTTGCACCACCCTGAAGTCCTCAAGTGTACACTGGTCAGTACACAAAGGACAGATATACATATGTGTTGTAGTCTACAAAGTTACAAAGGGCTGAAGCCACCAGATAGCCCTGTTTGTTCAGAGTGTCTCTGGATCTTCTTGTACTCGTCCACAATCTATTCAACAATTTCCATACTTCCTAGGTTTCACCAGACCCAGGAGCCAGTTCCTCCATTGGTTCCATCCAGTGTTGGTTCTTTGTTCAGGTAGTCCTCAACTTACAATAGTTCATTTATTGACTGAACGGCACCGAAAAAAGTGACTTACAACTGTTTTTCAAACTGCAATCCAAAACCCACTTATGCATCGTCGAGTACCGGGTAAGTGTGGCCATTGGGTGGGTGTGGCCAATTGGGTGGGCGTGGCTGCGGTGGAAACGGCAGACTTTGTGGGACTAAAAAGTTCAATCAATTCCAACTTTGCAAGCTTTTTTTTTCCCGCGAGAAGTTGAAATTGACTGATTGATTGAACCTTTTTTTTTTTTGCACATGGCAGTGGAGGCCTAAAGCAAAAAGGTTTTATAAAACCCAGCTGAAGGCCTAGGACTGGGGCAACGGCGTACGTGCCCACAGAGGGCTCTGAGTGCCGCCTCTGGCACCCGTGCCATAGGTTCTCCACCACTAGTCTACAGTATTCCTGTTTTTTAAAAAAATTAATTACGTGTATTGGTTCAGACTACCCAGCTGTCTTTAATAACTCACAACCAATTTGAATTCAAGAACTTCACAAGTTTTATTTGGATTTATAGATTATCCACCTTTAATGTCTTTGTATTATTATGAATGTTATATTAAAATACACTAAGAAGATGAAAGTGGTCTGTATAATTAAATCAACCTATTATATCATTAGTTAATTAATAGGTACAAATAAAGGTCAAGGGGATTTTTATTTCATTTCCTGGAGCATTTTTTTTAAATTGGGAGTTTTGAAAAAAGCTTCTGCAGCTTGTTCTGAAATTGAATTCTATTGAACTCGGGGCTGGGTGAAGATTTAACCCCAAATTTTTATAATCAGGGGAGGCAGAATGCAAATTGGAGTGAGCATTTTTGTTTTAATTGAAGAGAATATTAGAGGATTGATATAACTGGTGATGAGTTCTACAAAATAGAAGTTCTAAGTATAGTGGTGACATTCATAATGCCCATTAATCCTAATTCCCATAAAATACATACAGAATTGGTAGTTTGCCTTTGATTTTCTTGAACAGTCTTGGACTCTGCAGAAAATGCTCAGCAGAAAATCATAGGGCTGGAAGGGACCTTGGGGGTCTTCTAATCCAACCCCTTGCTCAAGGCAATTAAATCGTTATCCAGTCTATTTTTGAAAATCTCCAGTGGTGGAGTATACACAACTCCGGGAGGCAAGCTGTTCCACTGATGAATTGTCAGAAAATTTCTCCTTACTTCTAGGTTGGATCTTTCCTTAACAAGCTTCCACCCATTACTTCTTGTCTTGCCCTCTGGTGCTTTGGAGAACAAGTCAATCCCCTCTTCTTTGTGAGAGCCCCCCCCCCCAAGTAGTGGAAGACAGTTATCATGTTCCCCCCAACAATCCTTCTCTACAATAGGCTGGACATATCTTGCTCCCTCAACCATTCATCATACAATTTAGCCTCCAGATTCTTTATCATCTTTGCTGCTCTTCTCTGTACACTTTCTAGGGCTTCAGCATCATGCAGAGGAAAACAGGAGCAGATCTGTAAGTGGACTTTTTCACCTTCCTGTTCAGCAGATAAGCTAAGCATGTAGAAGATATCCTCCTCAATTCTCAACCTGCCATCCTCAGTTACTTTGGGCATATTTTTTGGGGGGGTGCTTCAAATCTTTTGCTCCAAGTCGGTGTAGGAAGCAGAATGATCTGAATCAAGCTCCTTAAGCAGAGTGTGGCTAAATTCCAACCTCAGTTGGAAAGAGGCGAGGAGCATGTTTACATGTTGCTGGTAATCTTAGGCCAGGAGGAACCATTTGGGAGAAAGATGTACGGTTTAGAGACACTAAATCTCATTTATGAACCCCGTGGTCTAGTAGTTTGTGGCCATTATCTTAGAGGTTCCATAACCTGAATCACTCCATCTTCAAATATCACTTATTTATTATACAATATGAGAGAGCTATAGTAATTGTCCTCTGCTCAAAAGTTCTAATTGGCCTCAGTTGGAAATCAGGATCTGATTTCAAATGAGATTTTGGAAAGGATTTTAAACAAAGGTGGCTGTGTGGATCAAAGGCAGCAGGTAAGGAAAACTAAAAATGGAAGGTGTGGAAAGATAATTTACCTGAGAATCATGTCAAGCACAATGGGATGAAGTTGCTGACTTGAAGCCTTGCAAGAGGGACTCTCTGTCAGGGAACAGGATGCCTCAGAGTAGATGGGTATTTTGGTCAAATGCAGCACGGTTCCTTCCTTCCTTCCTTCCTTCCTTCCTTCCTTCCTTCCTTCCTTCCTTCCTTCCTTCCTTCCTTCCTTCCTTCCTTCCTTCCTCTTTCTTGAATCTTGTTTGCCAGCCAGCTGAAGATCCGTCTGGTGGTGATGTTGTCTATTCCACCTTTTTCTAGCTGGAATAGACAACATCACACAGTCATTAAGTGAATTTGGCTTCTCCCATTGATTCACTTGTCAGAAGCTGGCTGGGAAGGTCACAAATGGTGATTACAGGACCCCAAGACACTGCAACTGTCTAAATAGATGCCAGTTGCCAAGTGCCCAAATGTTGATCACATGAATGTGTTAACT